CCAAAGCCACGCTCCCGCCAAAGCCACGCTCCCACCAAAGCCACGCTCCCGCCAAAGCCACGCTCCCACCAATGCCACGCTCCCACCAAAGCCACGCTCCCGCCAAAGCCACGCTCCCACCAAAGCCACACTCCCACCAAAGCCACACTCCCGCCAAAGCCACGCTCCCGCCAAAGCCATGCTCCCACCAATGCCACGCTCCCGCCAAAGCCACGCTCCCGCCAAAGCCACGCTCCCACCAAAGCCACGCCCCCGCCAATGCCACGCCCCCGCCAAAGCCACGCTCCCGCCAAAGCCACGCTCCCGCCAAAGCCACGCTCCCACCAATGCCACGCTCCCGCCAAAGCCACGCTCCCGCCAATGCCACGCTCCCGCCAAAGCCATGCTCCCGCCTTGCTCCACTTCTCCTCCACCTTACCACCCTCATCACCACTGACTGCCACTCTCCCTGCAGTCCATGGCTTTCACCACCACCTGTGCCTTCTCACTTGCATCTGCCATCAGCACCTCCACTGACGGGAGCCATAAGCCTAAGTGACTCTTGACACACATGCCACCATATTTGGGCTTCTCTCCTCTTTTCCTAGATCGAGGCCTTGCTTAAGTCTCCATGGCACCAGAACCTCTTCTCAGAAACCAGGTGACCGCGCTGCAGTTAGGCAGTTAGGCAGTTAGGCAAGGGTAGATAGATAATCCACATGGCAACATTCCCTGCTGGCCGAACAACCCATGATTAAAGTCCCCTCCCTGCCTGTACCCTCCTTTGCCCCCCACCTATATATGCCTTAAGAGGAAAATAAAATGTTGGAGCTTGATCAGACATCCTGTCTTGCTCTCATTCTTTGTGTCTCTTGTTCCTCCCATCTGCCGGCCCCCCATTCAGGTCCCCGTTGAGGACCCCGCTGGCCGGGGCACTCCACCACCTGCACCAACATCATCCTCACCACCATGGCCTCCACCTGTACCATCCATCCCTTCCACCCCACCACTACTATTGCCATCAGCCCCATGATTCCGCCATCCTCATCAGGTGCACAACCAATCCACCATTTCAGTCATCTCCTCTGTTGCCCTTGAAATACCTTTCTATCCCACGCTTTACACTGGCCTGAGTCTTTGTACAAAGACGCTGATCCAGATACACAGGAAGATCGAATACAGCCAGGAAAAAGCCTGCAGGATCTGCTCCCAAGAACTTCAAATAGGAGTTGGCCCAGGCTAAAGAAAATGCAGAGATGGCTGTTGACCTACAAGGACTCTGAAGGTTCTGGGCCAGGGAAATGGCTCAGTAGATAAGAGAACTTGCTGTGCAAGCTTGAGGACCTGAGTTCAAATCCCCAGAACCCATGTAAAAAGTTGGGCATGGTTGTGCGCACCTGAAACCCTAACACGGAGCAGGTGCATGGCAGAGACAGGGGGCCTTGCTGGGACTTGACGGCTGTCAGACTAGTTCAAGATTGATTGAGAGACCCCATCTCAAAGGAATAAGACAGAGAATGAGAGAGCAAGGCACCTGAGGTCCTCTTCTGGCTTCCCCATGTGTGCACCTGGGCACATGCTCCTGCACACACATGGGCACACACTAAGTACATATACCACACACACAAACAAATAAATAAATAGCACACAAACAGACAAAAGACTGAACATTTTCTGCCTGACCTGGGTATAGTCATCTTTGGTACGATCTGGTAATCCTGGATGAATTCAGATTCCAGGGATAACTTGGCTGAGAGGAGTCAGGGTGGAGAGGACAAAAACCCACAGCCCACGTTTATCTCTGGCCGAATCTGACCTCTTCATCCATTCTCTCTTCTTTTGAACTTGCTTATTTTTACTGACCAAGGGTCTCACACAGCCCAGGGGGGCTCAGTATTTATAGCAAAAGGTGACACTGAACTTTTTTTGTTTGTTTGGTTTTGGTTTTTCGAGACAAGGTTTCTCTGTGTAGCCCTGGCTGGCCTCGAACTCAGAATTCTGCCTGCCTCTGCCTCCCGAGTGCTGGGATGAAAGGCATTCGCCGCCGCCACCCGGCCCACTCTGAACTTTTATTTTTCATCCTGTGTGGATGTGTGTGTATGTCATGTGTGTGGGTACTCGCAGGATCAAATCCCCTGAAGCTGGAGTCACAGGCAGTTGTGAATCACCTGATATGGATTCTAGGACTCAAACTTGGGCCCCCTGGAAGAGCAATCACACTCTAAACTGCTGAGCCATCTCTCCAGCACCATGGCATTGAATTCTTGATTCTCTTGTCTATACCTTACAAGTGCTGAAATTACAGGTTCGATTCTTCTCCATTCATTCATTCATTCATTCATTTATTCATCAAACACACCCCTGTACCTATTGGGCACCAGGCCCTGTTCTGGGTCTTGATCTTTAAGGTTTGGAAGCCTAGTGAAGTTTTGGCTTGGTTTTGGTTTTGGCTTTTTGAGCGAAGTCTCCCTATGCATGCCAAATTGGCCTGGCTTTGAACTCATGCTGTAGCTCAGGCTAGCCTCAAACTCTCAGCAAGCTTCCTACGTTGGCCTCCCTGGTGCTGGGGTGATAATATGTGTCAGCTCCCCAAGCTCTGCAGGCCTCTCTTTACCTCTCCTGCCCAGCCCCTCTCCTACTGCTGGACCCCTCCCCTCCCCAGTTTTCCTCCCCCACCTCCCCCACTGGTTCAAGTTGGTTGGATCCCTGGGTTAACCACTGAAATGCAGAGGACCACTTAGGTTCGTGGGGTGACCTTGACAAGTGCCTTTCAGAGCCACAGCCACAGTGAGTGCTAGAGAGAGGGAGACTGGACTGGGACAGGCTTGAGTGTGGGGACGTCTGAGGGCGATGAGATGTCTGCAGAAGAGGAGGGGCTGGCGCTGGGTTTGAGAGAGAGGAGACTCCAGTGGATGGAGCCTGACTGTCTGGTTTGGGTATGGGAAGAATAAGTCAGACAGGGATAGGGTGGAGGAGGGGGAGCTGACCCAAGGCTTAAAAATGGGGCAAGGGTGGGGGCCAAGCCAAGTCCCGAGCTAATCAGGAAGTCAGGAAAAAAACGACAGGGCAGGGACTCTGGTGTTCCTGAGGCCTAGAAGAGGCTGCTGACCTCTGAACCACCTGTCCCTACCTTACCTGCAGGTGTGTCTGTGGCCCTCCCTGGAGGAAGGGTGGGTCTGGCCTACTGTCTGGAGGGTGTGGCAAAGAGGGGGGGTCTCCTCCATCATCCAGGAGGGATTAGGGTCAGCCTGATAGGTGCTTATATCACCCACAGATATTCCAGCATCAGCAGCCAGCCTGAAGTTTTCCTAGAGGCTAGCCACTTAGCCCTGGCCACCTTTAATATGGGAAGTGGGTGCCTGTGCCTTTAAATTCTCAGCAGGTTGAAATGGCTGGTGACGTCACTGGTTCCCGGGAGCTGAGGAGCTGGAGCCAGAACCCAAGGGAGCCAGGCTGGGCTGCCGGGGGCTGCAGACATGGAGGGCCAGAGCAGCAGTGGTAGTGCCAGGCCAGGTACCAGGACTGGCCTGGGACCCTTGCCAGTGCCCCATGGGGTTTTGCAAGCTGGGACACCCTCAAAGGTAAGAGCCCCCAAACCCTAGCTTCTATTCCTAATCCCAGGTCTCACACTCCCCCACCATACACACTCTGCAGGCACTCTAGTGCCCCTAGCTAAGTGGCTAAGGGACTGGTACTTTTCTGTGCCCACCAACCAGGGACTGGGCAAAAAGGTCACCCTGGAGGGGCAGTGATGGGATGCCCATAGAGAAATGGAATCAACCATGGGCCGGAACCCCCCAGAAGCTCTCTGGATGGTTGTCAGGGGACCCAGCTGTTCTCCAGCTTTGCTGTGTGACCTTGGGCAAGTTGCTTGTCCTCTCTGAGCCAATGCAAAATGAGGGGGTTTGTGTCTGAAGACTAGAATTGTGACATCTGGGATGTCTAAGTTGTTAGTGCTGGAGGCGGTATGGTGGTTGGGGGGAGGGGGGCACACAGTGGGACACTTGGAGCCAAGGAAAGTATCCAAAATGCAGCCTCAAAGAGCGGAGTTCACAGAGGGAGATGGAGATAGAGTTTCAGGTTCTCTGATCCGAGAAGGACGGGGACAGAGACTGGGACTGAGCTGCGTCTCCAGAGCAGGATGGGGCCACCCTGGGGCGAATGTAGACCTTCTTCTGTCCTCCCTGGCAAAGGACGAGTTCTCCTGGCCTCTGGAGACTGAGAACATCGTAAACAGGATGGACAAGGCAGGGGAGCTATTGTCCTTCCACCCATCAGGTATAAAGGGCACCGATCTGCCTGTGGGGAGAGGACCGGCAGATACGAGGGTACACAGCCTGGGCACGGAGAGGCGTGGCGGCAGACCACACTCACCGGGAGGGTGGGCTTACTCTCCAGCACTCAGGAAGTTCTGGGAAGTGCTAAGGTTAAAAGTACAGGCTGCTCACCCTGAACACACACACCTTAGAAAGTAGTGTGGTCAGGGACCCTTCCTATGGTCGCTTGTTTAGCAGATGGGAAACAGGCTGTGGGCAGAGGAGCATTTGCCTAAAATCACACAGAGCTGGGATGGGAACGCAGAGGACAGTCTCAGTTGCCAGCTCTTGACCCCCGCATGGTGCACTGGGAACGGGTCTGCACCGGCAAGGCTGTGACCAAGGGGTCGGGAGTGCTAGGTGGTGTGTGAGGGGCACCTAAGGGCTACTGGCACTGTGGGGGGAGGAAAAGGCACCCAGTTGGGTGGACCCTGTATCCCCATACCCACAGGGACAGACTTGGGTGTCCAGGCTGCAGGGGCTCCAGGGAGAGCTGCCCTGGAAGCTGGTCAAGGTGGAGTCGATGCCAGCCAAGAAGATGAGGAGAGCCTTCAGATTCAGGGTCATGCTCTGCTCAGTCCATTCAGGGTCTTAGTCTGCCCATCTGTGAAAAGGACTTTAAAGTTTAATATAGAAACATGGCTTTTGTATCCCATCTCTTCTGAGAGAGAGAGAAAAACTGACCTAGAGCAGAATAGGTTGGAGTGAGGAAGCAGGAAGAATTTCCTTGGAATATGTTGTTCTTAGCTGTATGGGGCTGCTGGAGTCTATATGGAAGTGGAGACTTGAGCCCTTGGTAAAAGTCATTCTGAGTCACTGATTTGTCCTCTACAAGGTGAGCTCAAGTTTTCAGCTTCCAGCAAAGAACACAGGCCCAGTACCCTCGGAACCAAGGTTGGCTCTGGCACCAGTGGGACCACGAGCAGCTGTGCCACCTCCCTCAGAGGGGCCGAGGCCGGCTTTAGCATCTCCCCGACCCATCCTAGCTCCACTCTCTACCCCTGGAGAACAGAAAAGACCTCCAGCCCACCGCAGCTCCAACCTGGCTTCAACGTCCGTGGGCCAGCTGGTGGTATCCGCCTCTGCAGGACCAAAGCCTCCACCGGCCGCCTCAGTCTCCATCCTGGCTCCAAATTCTCTTGGGCAGCTAGTAATATCCGCCTCTGCTATGCCAAGGCCTCCAGCCACCCTGGGGCCCATCCTATCTCCAACTTCCAGGGACCAGAAGCAGCTGTCACCCACCTCCGTGGGACCTAAGCCAGCACTGGCAGCCTCAGGCCTGAGCCTGGCCCTGGCGTCTCAGGAGCAGCCTCTGCAATCCCCCTCCAGTCCTTCCCCAGTGCCCAGTCCTGTTCTGTCACCCTCTCAGGAGCGGATCCTGACTCCAGCATCTGTGACATCTGTCCCTCATTCGGAGAGGCAGTTGCCAGCTAGACAGAAGGATGCTGTGGTCCCCAGGCCCATTCCCCCT